GAAGAATCCCAAAAATCCCCCAAAATTCCCAATCCCAAAATTCCCAATCCCCAAATCCCCCCAAATTCCCCTCCCCCCTCACCCGGCTGCTCCTCGTGATCTTCCTCCTCCTCCTCCTCCTCCTCCCCCTCCTCGTTGCCATGGCGACGGCCCCAGGGATGCTGCCCGTGGTTGCCATGGAGACGCGCGGCCCTGAAGGGCAGCTCCCCGTGGTGGTTGCCATGGTTACCGTAGCGGTTGCTATGGAGATGCTGCTCTCCGTTGCCATGGTTACCGCCCTCCAGCCGGTTGCCGGGCTTGCCGTTGCCATGGAGACCGGGCGGGTGGTTGCTATGGAGGACGCTGCTGTGGTTGCCATGGTAACCGTGCGGGAGCCCGTGCGGTTTGGAGGGGTCGGCGGCCTTGGCCTGGTTGCCATGGAAACCGTCGGGGTGGCGGTTGCCATGGAGACCGTGGTGGTCGCCGTGGAGACCGTGGTGGTCGCCGTGGAGACCGTGGTGGTTGCCATGGAGACCGTGGGGATGCTTCTCCTGGTGGTGGTTGCCATGGACATCATCGTGGTTCCCAAGGAGACCGTGCAGGGCGTGGTTGCCATGGAGACCATGGGGATGCTGCTTCTCGTGGTCGCCATGGTGACCGTGGGGGTGGTGGTCGCCATGGAGACCATTGTGGTTGCCATGGGGATGCCTCTCGTGGTCACCGTGGAGACCGTGGAGGGCGTGGTTGCCATGGAAACCGTGGGGATGCTTCTCCAGGTGGTGGTTGCTGTGGAGACCATCATGGTTGCCATGGAGATGCTTCTCATGGTGGTTGCCATGGAGACCATCATGGTTGCCATGGGGATGCTTCTCCTGGTGGTGGCTGCCATGGAGATTGTCATGGTTCCCATGGTGACCATGGAGATGCTTTTCCTGGTCGCCATGGTGACCGTGGTGCCCGTGGTCGCCATGGAGACCGTGGGGATGCTTCTCGTGGTGGTTGCCATGGTGATCGCTGTGGTGGTCCTTGTGCTTGTCATGGTCGCCATGGTTGCCATGGTGACCGTGGTGGTTGCCGTGGTGACCATCGTGGTGGTCCCCGTGCTTCTCGTGGTCGCCGTGGTGACCGTGATGGTCGTGGTTGCCATGGAGACCGTGGGGATGCTTCTCGTGGTGGTGGTTGCCGTGGTGACCTTCGTGGTGGTCCCCGTGCTTCTCGTGGTTGCCATGGTAACCGTGATGGGCGCTGTGGTCGCCATGGTGACCGTGATGGTTGCCATGGAGACCATCGTGGTGGCCGCCGTGCTTCTCGTCGTGGTGGTTGCCATGGAAACCGTG